ATCACGGAAACCATGCAGAATTTACTAATTTGAGTTGCAGAATGCATATTTTAGCACGGACGGAATTGACCTATTGTTGTCGCAGAAAATCATCGGCCCTGACCATACACTTCGTACTTTGTACTACGTTCCTGGTATTCGTACTTTGTACTATGTTCCTGGTATGCAAATATGCATATTTTGATTGTGCGAACTGATTTTTAAACGTTTTTAAAAAATTTCGCTTAATCGTAATATGCAAATATTTATTAATAAAAGTTGCCCAGTTTAAGTAAATATGCATTTTATCTTCTGAACAACTTTACTAATATACAAATATCGATTTACATAGTAAAATTTTAACTTCACTATGTAACAACTCTTGACGAATCTCAACATGGGACATTGTAGTCTTTAAGTGTCGCGCACTGTATAAGTCATAGTTTTTATATTATAACCAACCCATCCTTTGAATTTTTTTTTTAGAGGTAAAATTCGAATGTGACAATATAATATGCTAGAACAATCATTAATAAATATAGTTAAACAATTATCAAACAAAAAGAAAAAAATACATGTGCGCGCGTGAGAGTGAAACCCTTGAAATAGATTTAATGATTTACTATGATTGGTTACAGGTTTTGACTCTCACGCACTCAAATATTTTGTTTTGTTCAACAATAATTTGCTATTAAATTATTCTATTTTTTGAAGTAACTTAAAAAATTAAAATTAAAAGTGCTGATATAAAATTATATTTACGATAAACAAATATTAATTTCTTGAAAAGACAAAACAACTAGATAAGGTCATAAAAATAATAATAATTATACAATAATTAACTAGATTTTAATAAATTCACTTTTGAATAAATTAGCTTCTTTGTAATTATTTGTTTGGCAAAAATTTAAAATTTTATTTATTCTAATATATATTGGCTAAATTTGTGCTTAAATTTTTAATATTTGCGTTTTAGTTAAATTTTAAGTTTTATTAAATAACTTATAAAATATCAAAAATAAATATAAAATATAAAAATAATATTTACGATTTAACTTAATTCAGACTTATTTAGTTTAGTTATAACTTCATTTTTGAAATTGTCAAATAAGCTAGTTAAATCTTCTAATCCTTTTTTAATGCTAGTTAAATCTTCTAACCCTTTTTTAAAAATATTTAGATCTTCTAACTCCTTTTTAATGCTAGTTAAATCTTCTAACTCTTTTTTAATTTGACTAATTTCAGTAATTTGATTGCTTTCAGCAATTTTACTAATTCCGGTTTTAAATTTATCTTCTTGACGAATAATTTTGGAAAGTAAAGAAGAAATATAAGGCTTTTCTAAAGTTGTCCACTTCTCATTTTCAATATCTCTAATCAGATCACGTAGTTTATGTATATGTACTTCATAAAAACTATTTAAATATATAATAATATATAGAATTAAAATTATTTAATTAATTATAATAACAAATTATATTATACTTACATAGTATTTGGAAACCAATTATATTTTCTTCTTTGATATGGTAACATATAAAATAGTTCGATTTCAGTTAAAACCTGCAGAAATATTAATAAATTTAAGGTTACTAAATCTTATAAATATTGTATTTGCAGTATGAAATTTTAGCTTATATTTAACTCTAATACTTAGATATCTTAAAAAACATTTGTATAAATTGGTATATTAGTATATATTTCTAATACAATTAAAATATATGTT